AATTCAGAAGGGCGTTTAAATTTATTCACTTATCACTTCCAAGGACAGTGTTTAGAAGCAGTAATAAATTCACACACTTTTTGTTCTCTTAATAACAAGAACAGCCTGCAGTTCATATGTAGTCAGCACAAATATATACAGTTACAGATATGTGAGATGAAAGTAGGAACAAATAAAAACACATTTGGGATCCATATCATTACACTAGTCTTAGAGACATCACGTACAGGAAAATTTCTTATGCTTCAATCCCAGCACTCGGGAGGCAGAGGCAGGCGGATCTCTGTGAGTTCGAGACCAGCCTGGTCTACAAGAGCTAGTTCCAGGAGAGGCTCCAAAACCATAGAGAAACCCTGTCTCGAAAAACCAAAAAAAAATTGTTTTAAATACTGATTGAAAATAACAAATAATCGACTTCAAAAAGAAAGAGAAACAGGATTATTCTGGAAATGTTATGCACTCTATATAAAATAAAAAAAATATTTTTGTAAGTTTTGTTTTCCAAAATCAACTTATGCAAAAATGAAATAATTGGATTCAGGCAAAATTTTAATTGAGCTTTGATTTTTTCCTAAAACACTCAGTAATTTTATGGATTTTGAGTTTATTGTGCATATTTTTGGAGTAGAGTGTGATATTCAGAATTACATGATCATATAAAGCTAATTAACATTTTCTGAAAACTTGTTTCTAGTTCTATATTCCTTTACTGGAAATGACAGGATTTCATCTTTATTATAGGACAATAAAACAAGATTGTGTACATATACACTTATCCGTTCATCTGTTGACGAGCATCTATGTTGATTCTGTATCTTAGGTGCTATAAACAGTACCACAGTAAACCTGGGAGTACAGATTTGCCTTTGAAGTAATGAATTCACTTTCTTTGGGTGTATACACAGATATGGATCTCTGGATCATGGTAAAGATCAATTTTTAGTGCTCTGATGGCTGAGTATTGAGAATTTATATCTTTACCAAGGCGTGTAGCACTTTATTTTTCTTTAAATATTTGACAACCTTTGTTACTTCTTATCTTTGTGAGAGTAGCCATTTTAACTTTGGTAAGATAATATCTCATCATAATTTTGATTTGTATTTTCCTGATAGTTAATGACAGTGAGCATCTCCATGCATTTGCTGACCACTTGTATCCCTTCTTTTTGACAAATGCCTATGTAGATCAGTTTTCCATTTTGAAATGGACTTGAGCATTTCTTTGGTAACAATTTCTCACTCTGTAGCCCAACTGTACTGAAACTTACTGGTAGACCAAGTTGTTTTCAAACAGTGATGATTCTCCTGCCTCAACTCCTAGAATGCTGAGAATACAAGTATGAGCCACCACATATGGTTGTACTTCACATTTTTTAAAATTATATGAATGGTAGCTAAATTAGTGGAGAAAATTCCAGATAAAAATCAATATTTTAATATCCAATAATTTAGGACATGACATAGAGGAAAAAACCAGAAATAACTGTCTCATTTCTGTGGAACTGGCCATCAGTGTCTGATCAACTGCTGTCCACAGTGAATGCACAGTAATTGCCTTAGTCAGAAAATAAGTGTTATAATAAGAACACATCTGTGGGTCACTGTGACTAAATCTATCACTCTTTCTTTCATTCTTGAAAGATAAAAAACAGTAATGAGATACACTGCATGTGGCTGTAAGGCCAAAAGTAATCCATCAATGTCTTTATTAATTAGGTTTTTCTTATTATCTACAATTTTGTAAAAGAAAATATGTACCAAATCCTTTCAGGCTTAAATAAATTGAGTGGAAGATTGAATGAAAATATATGATCAACATTTTTCTTACTCTATCATTTTACAGCTTCCTTCAGAGAGAATATGTCTTGCATCTGATATAGATGATTCAGCAATAAACATATTCATAAAAGTGCAAACCTTTGACATATTTTTAGGGTCATATTCTGTGTTCATTATGTGGTAAACATTAGGCTTCTTATGCCCTTCCACTTACTATGCTGCCATTTTTTCTCTTCGAAATTGAATGATCTACCTTTCCTCATGATGTTCAGTTGTCTTTACTAATTTATTCTCAAAGATAAACTTTGATCTTAGCCCACCTTAGATCTTAAGCATTATTCGTATACTTTAAACACTTAACATTTTCCAGGTAATAGGAGTGGTATGGGCAACAAACAACTTTCAGTTTCCCTGTGTATGTGTCTCGCCTATTTTTTACACTAATTGTCTTAGGTAGACTGACTGTATTATTGTACTCTTCCTACATATGAGGAAACTGTGACTCACACATCTAAGTAATTTCTCAATGTTTCCTCTGTCTGGGGTGAAGCAGGAGTCAAGATTAACATTGTCTAAATTCAATATTGTCATGAATACTATACATTACATACTCTTATGACTATTTTCTCCTTGTACTAATTTATCAATTTGAAGGGTCTAGGAGTTAAGCATACTTGTGGCAATAGAAAAATATGTATATGTGTGAAAGTTTAAAAACTCTATAAGTATTTGAAAGATCTAACTATAACCCCAATTTATTGAACATCATTTAATACTGATACAAACCCCATTAGTCCCTGTCATTAGTTATAAATTTATGTCTTAAATGATCATATTGTAGAATAAATTAAAGCCAACCCATACTTTATTAAGGCAGAGAAGTATATTGCTCGTAAATTCAATAGTTAAGTCAGAAGTCCTCTTACAAAGTGAATGGACTTGCTTTAGTAGTGTTTAAGTAAAGGTGAGATTGGTGAAAACATGGAGGCAATGCCACTAAAGGGACAGTTAATAAGCACTTAAAAAGAGATGTCAATTTCAGTTTTCAATATGAAACACTGGACTGGGTCAGTGCTGGAAAAGTCGAGAGCGGTGGTTGTCATCCTTCCCTTGTGAAAAGGTCATCTGAATCATGAAGGGGTAGTGACCCACAGGTTAAGAAATGCCAACTGGCTCTGTAGTAGAACCGGGGCAATATCTCCTGTTACACATGTTTCTAAGTATTCAAGTATATTTCCAAGAACATTCTCTGGAATGTGATAGGTATTTACTTTGTCCCTCAGGGAGTGCATTAGAATAAGCATTGTGATTGGAATAGTCGTGAGGTCACGGTAGTTTGCAGGGCAGGTACTTTCCTGGAAAGGGTCAAGAAGGTGGACATAGGAGTGGTGCTAAAGGACACAGGGGACAGAGAAAATATTTTTAATAGAAGCAGAGAAAGAACACTGGCAACTGGAGAATTCTAAGAGAGCTTTGGATTTTATTTTACTAGAATGAGATATGAATCTATGCCTCCTGATATGAAAAGTCTGGAGAACCTTACGCGGTTTCCAAAAAAGGACAACATTAACTGCTAGAACTGAGTAGTAGATGATGGAATAGAACTTCCTTAAAAATGAATTCAAATATATCAGCATATGCAGTCAACTCATTTGCTGACTTGAAGAAGTCTTCCAAACCTATTATTGCCTGTAATGAAAGACTATATGCACTAATCATAACATGCAACCGTAACAGTGCTCACAGCATCTAAAAAATCATGATACAGGGATTTTTCGATAGACTCAGCACATTTTGCATTCTAAAACCTGATTGGCTGCTCTAGATGCTCTGGATGATATAAATTGGGGCCCAGAGTTGGAAGAAGTCAAAGGATCAAGCATCCCTGAGCTTCAGACAGAAACTCACTCAGAACACATTCAAAGGTATGTGGAGTTTATTCATAATTTACTATCTTAATTGGGGTCATTTTTTCTCTGAATTTTATGTTTCAAAGGTGTGAATATATTACACATTTCTATTACTCTGTGCCATCCACAACATATGTGCTTCTTCAGCTTTACATAATTAAATTATAGTCTCTGATCATTGAAATGAATGTTCAACTTTGTGGTACAGCAATGCATCATTTCTATAAGTTTTAGGTCAAGGATTCCAAAGCTTTTATGGAGCCAGATTTCACACCAAAATATTTATTTGCTTTTTTAAATTAGGATAGTGCTTTAACAGGCTATGACCTACTTCTTTACAAAGCTTTGTTTAATTATATCAAGTGTAAATGCTTTTTTCTTATTAACTTAACCTCTGTAAAAAGAATAGATTTAGAAGGTAGAAAATCTCAATGTACTTTTCATAGCCAGCACCATTACATGTTACATTCATATCTTATATGTACTTCATGGTGTTGTCATAAAACAATGTACATTTTTGGGGATGGCCAGTTCTTGCTTAATGTCTCAATGACATTCATATGTAGGATTCCACTGTTGACAAGCTAAAGATGATGTTACTGATGAAAGACAGAATTTTTTAGGCAGAATTCATTTAGAACCATTAAAGAAGCAGAGAATGGTAGCACTGTGTCCTCCCTTTAGTTTAACCGCATCTTTTGATTTCCACCTGGAACTCAAAGGTGTTATGAGAGATTCTTGCCTAAAATTCTACAGATGGTGACATCTGGACCTAAACCAACTCTTCCATTAGTCTATTCTGGAAAATTACTCAAAATTTTCTCAAATAATTTGTTTATGCTTTTAACAGTGGCACTGTTCAAGTGGGCTGTACCCAAAAAGAACATTTTCATGTCTTCTTACAAAAGCATAAAATTACATTCACTTTGATTACCTCCTCACCTTTCTATTTGATGAGGTTCTTTTAATCATTATTTATAGATCATTTACCTCCTATGAATCTATAGGCTATATATATACAGAAAAATGGCATACAAATTCATTTTGGTAGATAACTTGTCTTCCTATAACTTTTTAACCTTTAGCTAAACTGAAAGGCCTCTGTAGCATAATTACAATAGAGAAGCAATGCTATGGGTTCAAAATGGGAATCACATATGAATGAAGTCCTTTATCAAGAAGAACCCCATCTTTTTATTATCAGTACACTAATGTGGACTATATAAATGTATGAAACATAATTATGTTTATTCCTATAAAAATACATTTTTAAATGGCTGGTGTTAATTTCCATTTCAGAACCATCAAGAAATGGGGACCTGGATTTTGTTTGCCTGCCTCCTGGGAGCAGCTTTTGCTATGCCCGTGAGTAAAATACCCCTTTTATTGATTGTATCCAATTTCACAAGCTTGGAAATATAAATTTGCCCCCAATGGTTGGTGAATTTCAGGGTTTCATTCAGCACAAGATCTAATATCCCCAAGTGTCTAAGTGTTGAAGAATCCCTTAAGGAACTTTTAAAAAAGAAACCCATGAATGTCTCCACCACAGATTGTGACTCAGTACAGCTGAAATGGGGCCAAGCACTCCACATTTTAACAAGCATTTTAGCCTCAGAGAACTCTGCCATAACAATTAACTTGTAAACACCACTGCTGTCTCCACAAGGAGTAATCTTACTTGAAGGAATCCTTGAAAGGCTTCCAGAGAAAGTGTTTACTCAACCTTAGGCAAATGTGACATCCAAACAATCTCTAAGACTTAATTCCTCACAAGTTTCAAATTTTCTTCTTGCCTTAAGGAGGTAACATTTCTATATTTGATACACCGACTTGCACCACCTCACTCTTCCCCAAGGACCTCCCACTCTGGTGCATTGATTTACATCTTAGGTAGGACTTGACCTTAGCACGTTTATGGAGTTCTGCTTATGCCAAATTCATAGATAGCAAGCAGTTATAGTAGAAGGTCTGTACATTACTGTTCAAATGTACCAAAGACCAGGAAGCCTAGCCCACTCTCCAGACACAGGTACATAATGTCAGGAAGCTAAGAACATACAGTAGCAAAGCTTTTAGTGGTATAAAGAATATTCGGTACAACAGAAGCCAGTAAGCTTGTATACCTGCCTCTCTTCTCTCACACAAAAGACCAAGATTTTGTGCTATGTGCTCTTTAAATCCTGCATTTTGATGATTCCTTGTACTCTGAGAAGCTGACATTTATAAATTCACCCCCTTTTAATACCCCAGTCTCAGAGAGCTTATATCAAGATAAAATAAGGAAGACAGCTACCTAACTAATGTTCATTTGCATTCAGATGAGAGTGAATAAATTGGGCTGCAAAACACAAGCATTTTGGAAGAGTAGATTTGAACTGACCTTTTAGTAGCTTTGTGTCTGAGTGAGGTTTTCTGCTTTATGCTCACACCTTTCTGTCTCCTGCCCCCCCACCAACCAGAACTCCCTAGTCAGCTGACCCCACTTTGAGAAGCACAGACAGTTCTGGTTTAGAAAATTGTCCAGGTTGCTTTTTATTTGGAACTTCTAAATTTCTGTCATAAATCATTTATAGAATAATAAAAATGGTTGGCCTTGATCTTCAATACATCAATTATTTTATTGTTCAGGGGATGGATGTAGGATGTTTATATTTTATTACTCTCATCTTGTTCTCACATTGAACAATAGAGTTAGGGTGTTATTTATTTATTTTGCATGTTAATTACTAGGAAGCCCTTTGATACTTCAACACTTAACCAGCTCATCTTTAAAGGGACCCTTGGTGAAACGATTCCTGGCTTGTTGCTATTTTTCTGTTGTGTAATAGAAATATACCTCTTTCCTAACACAGAGGGAGTTTGATCAACAAGTAAATGGGTGGCTGGAAAGGGGTAGGATTCTTTGACTATAACCCCTGGGAAAGTCATTTAGCTAATCAGTGCCTCTTTAAAATGAGAAGGCTTCTCCACCACAGTATACATGCTCAGGCTAAAAGTAGACCTCAAATACATTCTGTACTATATATATATTTTTTTAAAAAAAATAAAGCTTTAGACATCCTTAATGTGAACAATTGATACTGACTTAATTTCTTTCTTTCTTTTCCTCTTTCTCCTTTTTCTTTGTCCTCCCCCCCCTTTTTTTCTTTCAATCTGCCCTCTTCCCTTTCTAAAAAAAGCTACCACCTCATCCTGGGAGCCCTGGTTATATCAACTTAAGCTATGAGGTAATTTTTCTATTTACTAATTTTGACCATTGTTTGAGTTAAAGATGTCCTGAGATCTGTAAAGAGTGGTGTATTGATTCTTCATTCAAGATGTTTCTCAAATGGTCACACTTTTTCAGTTCCCACCAGCAGCTTTAAGCCCCGACTGATGGCCTCAAATCTGCATTTCCCAGCACCCTTCTACCCGATCACTCTGACTCAGCCTCTACTTTTAAACCTAGTTTTAAATGTATCCACCATGAACTACCACCCAGGAAGGCTCCATGATAGGGCAGAAACTGAACTCGGCTTCAACAGTCTTGTTCTATGCCAGCCTATAAAATTCGAGGAGTAAGTAAGATGTTAAAATCTTTTCTAGCTGGAAAAATTGATGATTCAAAGACATCCACAAGCGGTGTGCATTTCTCACTGGCTCTGCTAAGTGATCAAGGAAAAGTGGTTTCAAAGAGTCTCTTCAGAGTGACAGAAAGCAGAAGAATTTTAGAAACAGGGTTTGGGGGTCTCCTCAAAGGCATGCAAATTCTATAACCTTGGGAAGATCTATTTTTCCCCATGGAACTTTGGTTTCCTCATCTAGAGAAGGGAGACAATGATAACTACATTTCAAAAATATTATTTGGAGAATAATAAAGGGCATGGAAAGAGCTATTCCACTCATAACTTGAGTGAGGTTAATAGTTTTTTGTTGTATTGATTAAATGATGTACCATACAAGAGAGTTATAAATCTGAGTCTAACTAATAAGGCAATACTGTCTAGAGAGAAATGAAATTCTTTATTTATCTCACAGGTTCAGATAAAGATATGAATCTGTTTACTTATATAAACTGAAGAAAATTGCTAGTAGGAATCTGAGGCAAATTTTACTGTTTAAAATGTTGATATATTTGATCAAGAAATCTATGTCTTAAGGATGAAAGGAAAGGTTTCCACCTTTTTTCTCCTTTGTGATATGAAATAAGAAAGAATCAAATGAATATTATATCACATTGTTGTGTCATAAATTTTTAATTGTTTGTTTTGCTCTTTCAATGAAGAGCAGGAACTGTGGAATTAAATCGAATTACTACTTTTGTAACTTCAGCTAAGTGAATGAACCTACCTGAGTTTTCATAACATTACCTATAAAAGTGAGGGTGATACCTGCCTCAGATCATGTGAGAAAACATGAAAAGTGGATGGGATGGATATAACACAGTACCTGACACATAGGAAACATCCAACAAATGTTTACCTTCTTCTTTCTTTTGTAGAAGTCACATTCTCAGGCTATCAATACTGACAGGACTGCATTAGTGAGTCTATATTTCATACTGCATTAGTGAGTTTAGTATTTAGTTCTTATGTAGTTAAACACAATCAAATGCATTCTAATGTCTCTTTCTCTTAAGGTGCTTACCCCTTTGAAGTGGTACCAGAGCATGATAAGGCAGCCGGTATGTAAACATTTTGTTCTTCATTCCCTTTAGAGAATAGGCATGCATTTTAATTCCCTTTTTAACTGAAATATCATGTCTACTCCATCTACAAACACTAATGGGAATTTTAGTTTGTAAAAGGTCATATCTGTGTACACTGTTAGAAATTCTTGCAAAGGAAAAAAATGACTAAAATATTCATAAGGTCATAATAACAAACACCACTGCTACTTCTCCAGTTAGAAATCAATTGAGCCAATGGTAAACCTGACTCTTTGTTTCTCACCAGTATCCTTCCTATGGTTACGAACCCATGGGTGGATGGCTGCACCACCAAATCATCCCTGTGCTGTCTCAACAGCATCCCCCGAGTCACACCCTTCAGCCTCATCACCACCTCCCAGTGGTGCCAGCTCAACAGCCAGTGGCCCCCCAGCAACCAATGATGCCAGTTCCTGGCCACCACTCCATGACTCCAACCCAACACCATCAGCCAAACATCCCTCCATCTGCCCAGCAGCCCTTCCAGCAGCCCTTCCAGCCCCAAGCCATCCCACCCCAGTCTCATCAGCCCATGCAGCCCCAGTCACCTCTGCACCCCATGCAGCCCCTGGCACCACAGCCACCTCTGCCTCCACTGTTCTCCATGCAGCCCCTGTCCCCCATTCTTCCTGAGCTGCCTCTGGAAGCTTGGCCAGCGACAGACAAGAACAAGCGGGAAGAAGTGGTGAGTATACATTGAAGCCAGAAACAGACAAATCCTAGGAAAGCGATTTCACAGAATTGGCCCCAGAGTTCTGAGTTCCAAAACAAATCAGACCCCAGAGTTGCAGACACTTAAGGTCTTTGCTTCTGTTAGTCCAAGCATACATTGTATCTTTTTCCTTCTTTTTTACAAATGATTTGCTGACATGTCTTGGTAATTAGCACCATGGATTTTGTGGTAAATTTAAATTTTAATCATTGAATTATCAGCAGACTCTGCATTACTGAAATGTAACCATTTAAGAGTAACAGAACAGGTGAATATCATTTTTTTCTAGCATTTCAAAGGGTTGACTAGTTTGAAGAGGCTAAAACTACAGGAAGACTATAAAAGGAGTAATTTTTGAGAATGAAGAGAACCAATATTTGAACAAGCTGAAAGAAGTAGAGGGGAACTATCTTTCAGGACTTATAGGAAAATTGCCTGTCTAAAGTGATCATTCAACTTAAAAGTGGCTAAATTAGTGAGACTGTTAGGTTCTTCTTCAGTACCAGGACTCCACAGACTAAGTGTTTGACAAGAGGTTGTCACAATTTAGCATTAAATGCTCTCGTGTTACAGAAAGCTCTTACAAACAAGTGAGAATAGTTAATGAAATGATCCTTATGCACACAATATTGGTTATATATATAAAATGATGTGATTATACTATGCACATGGATTCAAATGTGATAAATGCTATTAAGGATTTGCTACTAAGAATCAAAGAGAAGTGAGGCAGGAGTGACCTAGATTCTAGTCCTAGCTTTTCCCTCAAAAAAAGAAAGTGGTGGTAGGGTACCAAGTTACTACTATTTTGGAGGTGATTCCCTTCTTCAAAACAGGAAAAGGAAAAAACAGACAACTCTAAATAGTATTGCCATAGTTTCCTTATAAGAATACTGTCATGCATGACTTCACAATTCTATGCCTGTTTATGAAATGAGATAGAGCTTTTAGTAGTTGACTAGAATTCAATAACCTGGTAGCTATTCCTGATTATCATAGACTAAGTACATGTTCTCTGTTTGCATGCAAAGGGGGTTTATTTGTGTCTTTATTAATGATTAACACCGTGGATGTGATCATGTGTTTTTATCTTGCCCAAACTATTTGTGGAAAGGTGACTTTGGGGAGGTAGTATGAACTTTTTAGACTCAGTTCTCTCCTGCTTAAAATTAGAGAAAAAATCCTGATGATTGCCTAGAGTTGCCTTATGGAAAATGAAATAAAGTAATGAGATTACAGCAGGCAACACTTGATGCAAGGTGGCAGCTACTATTATATCACTAAATAATGTCTTAGAGGCTTGAACATAAGGAACTTCTACTTAATAGCAAGATGAGGAACTTCAGAAATTACAGAATCAAACTCAATGGTTGTACATTGTTTTACAAAACTGAAGCCATAACTTATTATTGTAAATAGTATTCACTAGGACTGTTTGTAAATTATGTTAATTGTTCCTTTTGCTATATTTTTTCAGGATTAAAAAAATTCAGAAAATGAGAGAACCGAAGTGGATACTTCGGTTGTTTTTAGGAATAACTCAAGAACACAATGATTTGTGCCTACAATCACTTAGTAAATTCTGTAACTAAAAATAAGTATCATTAGCAGATAATAAAATGTTTTAAAAATCATTCATGTCTTTGTGTTGAATTAAATTTAAAATTTCCTATCACTTGAGAGAACTTATAAGTGACTATTTGTGAATAATGTAAGGACTGGTCATTTGCTCCTACAAATTGACCATTTAGCAGGCAAATAATGACTATATGTCTTCTTAGAGAACCTTTATAGTATCTCAAATCTTTTCTTAAAAATAGAAATTTGTACATCATTAACAAATAGCTGAGGAAGCTAAAGAAATTTCAGCATGGTAGTCATTGAACCTGAACCAAATGAAAGCCAGTTTAGAAGAAAAATTCTTTACATTGAAAAGGATAAACTTTAAGAATCGCTTATATTCTAAATCAAATTAGGACTTGGAGCTCTAGCTTTATTCTTCACACCACATTAGTAATCAAAATCTGGTCTTTTGAACTCATTTTACAGAAAAAAATATTTTCAGTGAAATTATGTTATATGTAGAGTATTTCACTGAGTTTGAAATTACTGAAATAATCATTTTGCCTAAGAAAAATTTAATAATGGAGCTTCAAACAGAGAACTGCAGTGATTTTATACACAAGTCATTTCTTTCACTTCATAATCTTTAAGCTGATGAAGCCTACCACATGGTCTTCAAAACGTTAACAGATGCATAAAATGGACTTAAAAGAAGTTTTCTTTCCCACTCATATTTATATTTGAATCATTTTTTCCTCTTACACCCACACAAAATTGTAAATAGTCTTTGAGGGTTTATATTACACAGCATCCATAGTAACTTTATTCCCGTACCTTCATGATTTAAGGTCCCTTAATCATTTTCTGGAATGTATAAACATAGCTTTACTGGGAAGGTATCAATATGCAGACAAATAAGTTGATTTTTAAAAAACTGAAATGCAATAAGAAAGGTAAGAAAACATTTAATCAATTATCATAGTGAAAGACCCCCACTCACTAAGCAGCAGTAATGCCATTTTGCAAGGCTTAAACTTTGGAGCAACGCAAGTAATTAGAGCAGGGAAGTTCGACTTGAAAGCAAGGGCGGAGAAGCCAGGCGAGATATCTGCGGTCAGCCGGTCAGCCACCTGGCCCCAAGCGATAAGGAACCCGCAGCTGGCCTGCTCTAATGAGAACATCCCGTTTGCTTAGGGAAACGGGATGCCTATAGTCAGCACATGTGCCCAACTTAGAATGTCAGTAATTCACAGAAGAAGACAACTCCCCCTATGAAAGATCCCAGCTTATCTGCTGTAACGTCATTTCACAAAGCTTTTGACGAACGACTGTAAGTGCAGAGTAAGGTCAGGGTCCCTGGCTGCAAAACAGGATCTTTATATCCATAGATTAGGACAGGACATCAATTAACAGGATGTCTGTTCCCATACATCTGTGCTGGGAGAGGAAAAACCACCTGTGCCCCTTGCCCCATTCCAACTGACCACTAACGATGCATTTGCTTCTGTAATCTGCTTCTGCTGCCCTCTTTCCTATAAAAAGACCTTCCCCCAGTCTGCAGGCGCGCGCTTGTCTTCCGAGAGACTAAGCCGCCCCAGGTACCTGTGTATTAAATAAAGCCTCTTGCTATTTGCATCCGAAGAGTGACTCGCTGTTCCTTGGGAGGGTCTCCTCAGCCTGAAAGACTGCCCAGCACTGGGGTCTTTCAATAGGCCACTTTTAATCAATTGACTAAATATTTCTCAAGCACTCAGTAGATTAGGTACTATACTATATGTAATAGTAAAAACAGTAATTGCCTATCCTTACAGAAAGGGATGCAATAAGATAGCTAATCAACAGTAAAGGATGCCCAAATGGCATTAATCCTATGGCACATAGCAGTCACAATTAGAAGCTGTTCATCAGCTTGCTTACAACTCATTCCTCATTGACAGAACTGGAACTGATCCCAACATATGGCCTTCCACCTACTCATGAGAGAAATGTGTCTTCTCTACTGCCCAGGGAGAGAAGGTCCATTCATTTACACCAACTATGGCATCAGTTACCATAACTTAATACTGCTTGTCTCTTATTAGTTGAGGGAAAGGTTGTAGTGGACCATGAATATAAAATGAGAACAAAGGACAAGTTTCTGGGAAGAAAGAACTCTTAGGGATTAGGAATCCTTTTATCAAAGGATGTATAGCTACACTCTAGGAAAAAAGGGTGTTGTTCTTTTGATCATTTGTCTGGAATTTGTGACTCATGGAGCTGTGTCTGCTGTCTTGTGAGTATGTCAGTTATGTTAGGCCTTAGCCAAAGTTGGTTGACTCAACATTGCAAACGAGACTTTGGGTGATTGCCCAGGTAGTCAGTTGTCTCTGTCAATTGTAGCACATTTTGGATATATCTCATTTGTTAAGTAATATTTATTCCCTTCTCAGATCTTTGACGGAGTTGAAGATTATATAATTGTAGTTACTCTCTACATTATTTAGACTCCTTGAGATAAAATGTTTAGCAAAAGTTTTGTTCTCAATATTGTTATATTTATTATTTGTTATTATTGTATATAGTTGTATTTCGTTTAGTTCTGTCTTATTTAGACAAAAAGGGGAGATGTAGGGATAAGTCCCGCCCGTTAGGGGGCATGTTCGCCTCGGGCTAATGTTTACCTATAAATTTGGCGAGCATGCTCCCAGCCACTGCTTCTGCTTTCCTGGTCTCTGAGGGAACGGTGGTTCTGTAAGTCTATTTCTATATTAAAGCTATATATATATATAAAAAAAAAAGTTGGAAGCAGAAAAATAAAAACTCCTGAGGATATTGGTGGCACCATTGTGTCCTGAAATTACCCATCCCTGGGACCACCTACAGCAACATGTTTTGATATTTCAATGAGAAGCATGAGCCAAGGAGCTTAAACAGAATTACCATTTTTGTAGCTGTGTTATATAAATTGACTCTAACTCTTCATGACTATCTCTAAAAGATGAGGGTGATTGTACTTGGCCAGACCATGGACAACAACTTGTAGAATGTGCTGGATTGTTAGTAACATAATACTTGATATAGGAGCACTGGACATGTCTTTAGCTTCTTTCTTTTGTAGAAGGCACATTCTCAGGCTATCAATACTGACAGGACTGCATTAGTGAGTATATATTTCATACTGCATTAGTGAGTTTAGTATTTAGTTTATATGAAACTAAATTAAATCAACTGCATTCTAATGTCTCCTTCTCTTAAGGTGCTTAACCCTATGAAGTGGTACCAGGGCATGCCAAGGCATCCGGTATGTAGACATTTTGTTTCTTATTACTTTAAGTTAACAGGCATGCATTTATAATCTCTTCTTTCATTCAAATATGTCCACTCCAATGTGTACGTTTAGTGCTAGCATTGATAAAATTCTGTTGGAGTTGAATTGGCTTCAAATGGCATGGAGGTCATAGGCATATGACAATGTTTATAAGATAAACCTTTAAAACTTGAGGTTTTACAATATTTTTCATATTAAATAACATCCTAATTTCAATAAATGCCTAATATATTGCTCATATGTACCTCACAAACTTTACTTTTGGGTGCCTATGCATTTTTTCTTGAATGTTTTATGATATTGGGTTTGTACCATATTGAAGAGTTCAGCTTCAATAAATAATGGCTATGATTAGTAAAATGCTCATAGTTCACATATTCGAAAATATGTTTAAGAGCAAATACTGAGGATAGATATTGTAAAAAAAATCTGTAAGTAATTATTATTTATCAAAGAAAATAATGGCTGCCATACTACTCAAATCAACATGTAGATACATAGAATTACAATGCAATGTGATGTTTCAAACTGCACACACATATTGGCGCATTTATATCATTTAAAATTCAAAAGAAATAAAATTTAAAACTCAGTTTCTTGGCCATATTTTATATTTTCTAAATGTTCAGCACCCACACTGGGCAAAAGACTGCCATATTGGGCAACACAGATCTAAGACACTGCTAATAGAACTTAAAATTTTATCAGTGTTCCTCTATACAATACTTTCTGAGGCAGAAGCAGCTTGTTTATTAATTCAAGGATTTGAGACAAAAGATGATACAAACCAGACTGACTGGTTAAAACTGAAGTTCTCGCTAAGAGGCTATTTCCTAAGCAGGTCAGAGATCATAATCTTAAAAGAAAGTTTTCTAAGAACTGGAAAATTCTCTTTCTTTCTTTTGTTAAGCAATTATACACTACAACGGTTTCTCCTCTAGTTCCCTTTCCAAAAAGACAAATCTGGAATTGAAATAAATTCCTTTCCCTGCTCGTAATAGAATTGTTTTGACACTAAAGGAATGGTTTCAGACCCTGAGCCAGCCACATCTGGACTGGAGGTAGGTTAGGTCTGCCCTGGACCTAGAACTTCGCTGGAAAGAGGTGAAAGTTTAAGCTGATGAAAAAGTGAAACTAAGAAAATTATTTTGCTCAATTTTGATGGAGACTTATTGACCATAAACTCCAGAAAAAAAAACCTCCATTATCTTCTGTTTTATGATTCAGACATTACAGTGTTATTAGGGCATATACATGTTGTACATACACAAGTCCATTAGATTGACCTATAGTAAAAGGACACATGTGAAGATATGTACCATTTGAGCAACTTGAAATATTAAATAGGTCTTCTCTCCATTCCAACCACCTAAAGAATATATAGTGATGGCATTAGCTATTCCTACCAAGGTACATCATAGTTTATTCACTAAAATTCAGGAAAAATATTTCAAGTTTCTCCTTTTTTTCAAGAAACACGTTTACACCTCCTTTCCTAACTCAATACAAAATGGAACTATAGACCCCCCCCCCAAAACCTGATGTTTGCTCCTTGGTAGCAAACGGTAGCAGGCAATACCAAGAATGAACTTAAGCACCAAACATAAAAAGCTATGTGAGATAAAAATAATTGTGGTGGTTTTTAAAGTAATGCAATGTTCTACTTTTCTTAACAGCTTAACATGGAAACCGCAACAGAAAAATGATTTTCACCAGTCTCCTACCTTTCCAGAACATAATGGCATGTAGTAGTGTTCAATATTGCTTTAATAAAATTCTCATCGGCTTACATTTGTTGTGAAGTTCTTGCTACTTGTAGTTTTCCTTTGGGGTGATATATTTGTTAATCCTATCCCCCATTTTTTAAAAAAAAACAATAAGAAGTGAGTAGCTTTATGAGTAGGGGTCTTTGGCTGAAGTTTAGTTATTCAAAATGCTTTATGAGAAGAGTTCACAAGAGATTCATATGAAACAGCTGACACTTATAAAAGATATATAATTATTGGGAATTGTGGGATGGAAGAGGTGAGGGGTAAAGAACATGGTAACAACAGTCATTTTGGCCCCCAAACATTTACCATAGTAAACAATAACTGGATCCTTTATCTAAAAATTCAAAATCAATAAATCCCTCTTACAGATATCCCCGTCCTTTAATAGAAAAGAGAAAGGAAACGAGCAAATGGAGAGATAAGGAGAGGGAAGAAAACACCACAGGCTTAAGTATTTACCTTTCCTTATGAGCCAAAAATATCTCAAACAATATTCAATTATTTCACCATAAAACATCCAAATCCTGTATTTGAGTGTGGAATTTGGGTGATCTGAGGCCAGTCAAGTGTCTACACAATTTCAAAGATGGTTCCCTGTGTTGTGAGTATGGATGCTGGTATTCAGACATTACAAACAGAACTTCTGGTTCATAATCATGATCATAGCTGTGGAAAGTTTTACAAATCTCTCATCCTCTCTGTATCTCAATTTCCTCATCTATAAAATGTAGTGATATCATTCTTTGAGTCTTTTTTTTTAAACTGAAAATTGATTCTTCTATTTGTTAGATTCTACCCAATAGTGGAGAGGGTGCCTTAACTGCCCTTCCCCTGTAATCAGATTGATGACTACCTTAATTGTCATCATAGAACCTTTATCCAGAAACTGATGGAAGCAGATGCAGAGATATACAGCTAAGCACTGGGCCGAGCTCCCAGAATCCGGTCGTAGAGGAAGGAGTAATAATATGAGCAAAGGAGTCAAGAACATGATGGGGAAACCCACAGAAACAGCTGGCCCGAGCTAGAGGGAGCTCACTGACCCCAGACTGACAGCTGGGGAAACTGCATAGCACTGAACTAGGCCCTCTGAATGAGGGTGACAGTTGTGTGGCTTGGGCAGTTTATGTGGTCACTGGCCGTAGAACCAGTATTTATCCCTAGTGCATGAACTGGCTTTTTGGAGCCCATTCCCTGTGAAAGGACACCTAGCTCAGTCTAGACACAGAGGGAGGGCCTTGATCCTGCCTCAGTGTGATGTGACAGACTTTGTTGACTCCCCTTGTGAAGTCTCACCTCTCTGAGGAATGGATGAGGTGTGAGGTGGGGAGATATTGGGGGGAGCAGAAGGAGGGGAGGGAGAGAGAACTGGGATTGGTATTTAAAATAAAAAACTTTGCTTAAAAAATAAAATAAAAAAGAAAATAGATTCTTCTCTCATACAACCCATCCTGACCACAGTTTCCTCTCACTTCACTCCTCTCTTGCTGCTCCCTCACCAACCTCCCCTCTCCCCCCAACCATGATTCTTTCCACCTCCCTCCACTTCTCTTCAGAAATAAGCTGGCCTCTAAGAGACAACAACCAACACAACAAAACAAGATACAATGAGGCAAGGAAAATGCCCTCATATCTAGACTAGACAAGGTAACCCAATAGGAGGAAAATAGGTCCAAAGGCAGACAAAAGAGTCAGAGACATACCCATTCCCACTATTAGGAGTACCACAAAACACCAAGATAACAGCCATAAATAGCCTCTAAATTCAATCCCTGCTGGATGCAGTCATTTGTAGGTTTTCAGGGGAGGTGTGTGTGAGTGGGTGTTTGTGTCTGCTGCATGTACATGCTTGAATGCTTACACATTTATATGCGTGTGTGTGTATTCAAGCATCTGCAAGCCAGAAATTGATGTCTTTATTTACTGCTTTCCACATTGCTTGTATTTGAGACGAGGTTTCTCACTGAACTGGAAGCACACCAATTCTAAAGACTAGCTGGCCAACAAGCTCCAATGACCCACCTGTCTCCTCCTCCCCAGTGCTACAGATTCCAGATACCCACTCTCATGCCTTTCTATGTGGGTGCTGGGTATCTGAATTGAGATTCTAATGGTGCCCGGCAAGCATTTGATAAACCGAGCCATCTCCCCAGACCCCAGACACAATTCTTATATTCACAAATGGGGTCTCTTGACTGTACAACGCAAAGGGAATACTGCACAGTTGGAAGTAGAATTAATTGACTACAAATTTTTTATATATCATAAAAGTTTTCTATGCAACAGGCTCCAATGTGGAGATCTGTAATTTTTGACATTATTGCCACTGTGATCCTGTATGATACCCACCACTTCCTGCCTGATATTCTAGATGCTTTAAAACGTGTACCTCCAATACCAACATCACTTTCCACGCCCCACCCTAGAGATATCAGGGCTATAAATTTACCAAGAGTGTATAGTGAACAATTTCTAAGCATTTTGCTGTGTCTACCCAAAGAAGCTTATCATCTATCGGGAAGAGCACAGAATTTGTTTGATATAGTACTATTCACAACACATCTTGGTAAAACCTCTCAGCGGAGAACTAAATCTCCCTCGGATGAGTGAGAGATGGCCTTTAGAAAAGATCACGTAAGCTGATGTACAATGATGGATGCTCTCCTGATACATGGTACACTGAGACGAGTAGAGAGGGTGTTAATTGCACTTTTGGGAGTATCTTGAGTTCTGGACAGGCTCCTGTCTCTTTTGATTCCAGTGGTTAAACTGAAACAAATGCAAGAACAGTTCTCAGAGGAAACAGAAGGAACTGTCTTTCTTTCATTGGTTAGTTCTGAGAAAGCTCTTGTGTGGAATCCTTATATGCCATTTTAAAATTGTTTCCTTTCCCCTTCCCAGGCTTCCTTCTGCAGGCACATGCAACACATATTTAGAAGCCTTTAAATGATTCTCTGAAATTCACTAGGATGACTATAATGAAAATACCATTTAAATGTCCCTAGCATGATATTTAATCATAACTAATTAGTTTATATATTCTCTCTCTACCTGTAATTTAAGTGCCTAGATTAAAATAGATGAAAAAGTTCAAAGATCTAATGAAAACATGTACATGTGCGCATGCACGCACACACACACACACAGAGAGAGAGAGAAAGAGAGAGACTTAGACTTTGCTTCCTGTTTTGCAGCTTCCACAAATGTTAGTTACTGAGGCAACAGTCCAAACTGGCTCCTTCTACTGGGTTTTGACTGGAGAAGGAAAGAAGGAAATGTTTGCAAATTTGCACAGCTGCATGCAATAACAAATCCAGTCTCTACAGGTTTACAAAATCCCATTTTCGGCCTGTGATGAGGAACTTGGCTTCAGCCTGGTTTCTACAAATGATTTTTCACATCCAAAAATAGGTACAACAGAAAACTTCAAAATCTATTTCCTTTTCTTAAAAGACAGCACCCAGTTTTCAAATACTTATAAAATATCGCTGCTAAAAGGTGCAGTTTCTGTCCACAAGATTTACAGAAATGGTTGAGAGAGAAAAACATTTTCTGCCTTTGTGGCTCATTCAGGTAGAAAACAAGTGTTCTGAATGAATAATAATAGTTAAGCAAGAAACTAAATGGACAAGTTGATTTAGTTGATGGCTGTTATTATCAGTAATCAGAAACACAATAGAAAACCTTTTCTGGCACTTGGAAACGTTCAACAAATTGCATAAGATCAGAATTTAAGAGCAGTAAATTTTCTTCAGAAACAACTTATGTAATAATCTTTTTGTACATATTTAAAGTATGTATATAGTATAGTGGCCTATGCACGTGATTGAGAAAGGGAACTCTATAGAAATGAATCGAAATGCTCACAATGTTTGATGTCTTACATAGCCAACATTTAGAAAAGTTTGTGATGTCACCAAGATGGTGTGAAAAAAAATCACCAAACTAATACTTACTGGTACTTCAGGGGAGACTCAAAGAAATTTTCATATATGGGTATGGGATAACAGCAAGAAGCTTAGCTTTGTGAACATTTTGGTAACATTCAAAACTAAGAAAACAATAATTTTAGATATTTTCTCTGATGTAAGAAGAATAAGACATATGGAAATAATGAGGCCTAGTAAGGTATATTGCCAAGGTTGCCTTTGTCATCTGTAAACAGCTTATGTTGTTTTATCAATCAACCACTGCTTTCCTTTAATGGGGTAGCCATAAGGAAGGTGACATGCATCATTTTGGGGTTCCACACCAGTATATAATGAAAGTTCATAATGTCTCAAAGTCAACAGCATCTATGGCAACACCCTCTCTTGTTGCCTGTTGTCATTATATATAGTACTCAAAGAATGAAGCTCAAAAATGTCTCGGCAGCAATGATACATGATGTCACATCTGTTATGGACCATTCAGGTGACACTGCCGAAGTCTTATCCACCGGGACTCTTGTTTCCTTAGTTGTGACAAAAATAATATTAAGCCAGAAGATCACATGGGCACTCACATTATTAAGCCATGTGTATTTGAAAGTCAAGTTTCAAATGCTGAAGAAATAACTCAGAAGAGAGGTAGTGGATCCTTCTTAAGATGTGCTTCTAGTTCGCAACAAAAATATGATTGGTTTCAGCAATGACATTTCATTTCAGTTAGCCTGGCTTGAGGGCCCCAAGCCCTCTTTAAGTGCAACAGTTCTCAACCTGCGGGTTGCGACCCCTTTTGGTGGAGGTGGAGCAAATGATCCCTTCACAGGATTGCATATCAGATATCTACGTTATATTTATAAAAGTAACAAAATTACAGTTATGAAGTAGCAACGAAAATAATTTTATGATTGGGGTCACCCCCAAATGAAGAACCATATTAAAAGTCGCAGCATTATGAAGGTTGAGAACCACTGATGTGTTGCAGGAAGGGGGGCCCCTTGTTCCGTCCCG